TACTAGTATTTCGGTCAAAGTAGCTGTAAATAGTCACTGAAATCCACTTTAACTTGCGGTAAATTAACGTGTCTACCAAAATTTAGCTATAGTTTCATTGCCTAACAATATTCCGTTGTTGAGATTCGGTCCACTGCCAAGGTCACTTACAATGTAAATATGATTGACATGTGGTAACAATACATTATTCAAAGAGCCTCTCCGTGTATTACACGCTCCTTATAAGAAAGGCATATTTCCACCGTTGTGATACAACCGGGTAAACAGATATAGATGCACTTTAAAAGGACCAAAATCAACAATCAACGCTGACTTTTATTTTCTAAGTAGTTATAACCATAACGATGAAAATCCCCTTAATAAAGGTCCAAATAAAAAAAAACTTTTAATTACGTCACCAGGGGTACAGTGTAACTGATATCGGATACTTGTGTAGCCAGTTTAAGTCATCAGTCTTTCCCTGTCTGAGTGTTAATACTGTCAACAAAATATTTGTTGCCATCCGACGAGCTACCGTCTGTGTACATGTATACTTCAAATGATCTTACTAGCAATGTGCTAAACTGCCTCAGTGTTTGTTTTGCCTCATTACCTATGTCACGTGGTTCTACAGCTTCATAAAGGTACACTTTCGTTAACTAAGCCTATCAAGGTCGCATTATTACATTATGCTGATTCACCCCCTCTCTTTTGTTAATTTCCTTATCCATTTCATTTTCCAACAGCTTTGACGTTATTGTTGGGTGGAACGAAATCTGCTTTTTCCATGCTAAAATTAGTAATATTTTACGATTTCTGCGCATGTCTGAACCCCCCCCCCCCCCCAATGCCAGTGTACTCACCGTGCTGTGAGTAGAGACTTGGCGTGTAGATCAGTCCTAGCAAACTGCCCCGTTGTACACCCAAACTAAATATAGAGGTGCTCTTTGGGGGGGAGACAAGATGGCGTAGAGGTTGACACGAACTCTAGGACACGGGACATAAATTGGTCTTTCTTGACATAGACAAGTGAACCCAACGTCTGATGTGGTACATTCTGAACAAGTGTACATCCGTGAACGAGCTGATCGGGTGGAGAAAGTACAAATAAGGTGAATAACTGATATTTTTTAACCTTATCACATAGACATAGTCTGCGCGAACGTCGCATAGTGGATGAAACATACTGACTACATTAAATTTCACGCAGTGCTGTCAACCTTTCAGCATGTCATCCAAACACACAAAAAACACTAAAAAGGGTGAGCCTACACCCAAACGTACGCACAGCGAAGTCTCCAATACAAGTGCTGAAGAAAATAGCAGCATTATCTTAGCGGAACTAGAAGAAATAAAATCTTATATGAAAGACATGATAAACAAAGACGAACTGAAAGAACTAGTAACCACCTTAGTTACAGAAATGTTAAAAGAAATGAAAAAAGAAATGGGTTCACAAATCAACAATATGCGAGAGAAATTAGACTTCCTGGAATTTGAAAATAAAAACCTTACAGAAAACATTGCAAGGAAAGACAAAGATTTACTTAAATTGAAAGAGGAGATAAAAGATCTCACAAAACTGAGTCTTGAGGCGGACAAACGATCAAACTACAATGAACAGTATTCACGTAAGAACAATATTAAAATCTACGGGATAAAGGAAGAGACAAAGGAGAACACCAAGTCCGTCGTACGCGACACATTGAAGGAAGTAGCACAGATAACACTCCGGGATGATGACATTCTAGCAGTACATCGTATACCTGGGGCAAAAACACAACAACCGAGACCTATAATTTTACGAGTGAATAACACGGAGACAAAAGCCAAAATCATGAGGTGCAGAAGGGCAATGAAAACCTCGAGGCAAAACTTGAGACTGGCAGATGACGTCACAAAAAAGAACGCGCAACTTATCCAGCGCCTCGTTAACCACCCTGAAATTGATCAAGCATGGTACTTTAATGGGTCAGTCTATGGTCGGCCGAAAGACAGCACAAAAAGGGTGAAATTTGACCTGCACGATGATATTAATTTAAAGATAAGAAACGCTTGAGCTTGAACTTTATTCCTCCTTTTTCCATTTTCCTCTTGCTTTAATTTTGCACATAAAACCAATTGTCGCACAAAACTGAACGCTCTCCCATGTACGTTTTCTTATATGTAGTATATTGCGTGAGTGTATGTTTGTGTTTAAATGAGGTGAGTAAGTGGATAATGGCCGTGCGTAAGACTGAGATTGTGTGCGAAAGTAAAAGTGTGCACGTGGTACATGTCTGTTTGTTAAGCGATGAAAAGAATGGTGAGGCTCATTGTCGTACATACATATATATCAACGAAAACGTTATGTCTGTCAATTCATTAAAATGCTATTATGAGTTTTGATTTTAGTATATTATCCTTAAATGTCCGGGGGCTAAATAANCATGATTCTTGCTTTTTTATTGTTATCTTTTGTATTTGTCTTACTGTTTCATCCTCTCATATATTTTGGCATTGGATATATATGAATGAATTAGATAAAAACTATGAAAACGAATCACTCTTTCAATGGGGAAAATTGTGAATTTGTGAGATACTGCACCTTTTAAGGCATAGTGCATTCTTAAAAGTAGGGCATTCTCATTGAACGTTAGCAACGAAAATGAAAAGTAGGCTACTTTATACTTCCATTCTTTACAAAAAAGCACCACAAATGATACACAGGAATGTTTTTTTCTTTACTATTTATCCTATTACAAAAATTGTGTTGGAAATATTGATAATTTTTGTCCCATTTAAAAGCTAGAGTAATTACCGTACACCCTTACCTGCCAAGGAAAGAAGACTGGGGTTTGGTTCAGTGGTACCCTTAGTGGCGCCACCACCACCAACTCAAACAACAGCCCCAGTAACAGTGGCGCCACCCCTATCAGCAGGAATGCTATCATCAGAGACTTCAGGGCCTGCAACGACAAATGAAAATCACTGATGGTAACAGCTACTTGGAATTGTCCGGAGAGTCTAGTCTCTGATCATGTGATGGGAAGGATGCTCGTTTTTTTGGGGATATCAATTGTTTGAGAAAGCTGTGGCGTAATTTAAACATTTTTAACTTGTCAAGCTCTCTATAAAACACAATTCTCAAGGGAGGGTTGCCTTGGTTTGAACTGATGAAGATTTTAAATTGTGTGCATTCATTAATTGGACAACTTCCTTCTTGAGATGTAGCCTTTTTTGAAACCCACGTTACTCACTCCATTCCCCAAACTACCCTATATCCACTCACCAGTAGCGTCCATTCCTTCACCTTGGTCATAATGGCTGCCCAGCCTTGTGGTATCCACTGGTAGAGAACAGCCCCCAGTCTCAGCACCACCCAGCAGACATACAGTCCACAGGCCGCAGTGTACAGCTCATGGATCCTTACAGACCCCATCCAGAGAGACATCAGCATACGACCAAAGAATACTGAAAATATCAACCATTGTTTACTTATTTGATTTTGTGCATATGTATATCAGGTACTAGTAGATCCTTACGAACCCCATTCAAAGAGACATCAGCAGGCAACCAAAGAATACTTAAATTTTCAATTTACAGTAAAAGAAAAGCTTGATGAATGATTCCCAAGAAACATCAGATGACAGACATAGAAATAAATATAAATCAAAGTGGTATAAGTTTCCATTTCTAAAGATTTCGTTTAAGTTTCCATTTCTAAAGATTTCAGTCTTAAAGTGCGAATAAACTTTGGGCCTAAAGTCCTTGGCCTAAAACTTTCCCATGAAATTCTGCAAGGGGTTATAAGATTACTATGACCAGCTTGTTTATAAAAGCAGTAGTTAACTTACCTGGCAAGATTAAGGTGACTAGGCTGGCAAGAAATAGTGTGGACCACATCAAGACAAACAACAGCATCATCTGCAGATGAAAAATTGGTTTTTAGAAATCAAATTATCTACATGCACGAACTGATTTTTTTATCTTGATTTTCAGTTGAGTAAATATGTACAAATAAAAAAATTATGAAACAAGTGTTGCTCTTACCCTAATAAAGAAAAAACTTGGTTTGTGAAAAGGCTGATAGCCTGAGGGTCCTCCCTGATGCAGTAATGCTTGATGAATTGCACCCAAATTTCCAACAGCTTGGGCTGCCCCCTGGTGACCTGCAGCCACATGTGCCGCCCCCTGGTGACCTGCAGCTCCATGTGCTGCCCCCTGGTGACCAGCAGCCCCATGTGCTGCCCCCTGGTGACCGGCACCATGTTGAACTGCCCCAACAGGGGCTTCAACATCTTGTGCTGCCTCCTGTTGGTCCAACAAATTGACAGCTTGTAGTGCTGCCCCCTGGTGACCAAGCAAATCGACAGCTTCTTCTGCACCTCCTTGGTGCTCTGCCTCTTGTGCTGCCCCCTGGTTCCCCAGCTCCTCTTGTACAACTTGTGCTGCCCCCTGCTGACCTGGCTGTGCTGGTAATATTATATTTGGAGCAACTCTCTCAGCACCATCAGTGTCCTACAGAAATAGATCAATTTTTTTTTTCACACAATTATATATTTTACCCTCAATGTAATTATTTTCAAGACACCTTTATCTGCTCCTAGGGCACAGTCATGACAACAGTCCATATTAGAGTACCAACTGCCCTTACTGAGGGCTAAATGTCCATAGAAAACTTCTCAACCAAAATCAAAAGCTTACTTTTATAACATAGTCAATGTCTATCAGTCTAAGCACAAAATATTGAAAAACTATTCATGCCCCAGACACCTGACCTTACCTCTGGTGAATCCCCCAGGAGATAAGATTTGAGGTCCAGCAGCCAGGCCACGCCCACTGTCCACCCCCTGACCAGTCCCTTCAGCCAGGTCCTGGTGTGACCCTGCTCCAGGAGAGCTGGCAGCACCACCTGGAGGAGAAGGAGCTCCAGGGACAGCTCACTGACTGGGGCATCACTGGAACACATGAAGGCTCAGAGTTAAAGTAGTGATATCACACCAGTCACATGTATTATTATTATTATTATTGATCATTGCTGTTTTAACCAGTAACGTCAGTTGCTTAAGAAAGCAAAATATACATTATTACAGCTACCAAGGTAGTAAACAAGCTCCAAGATTTCCAATAGTTCTGGCAAAATTAATTCATGTCAAATATTCAGAATGGTTCAAAATGGTGCTGATCCACTTATCAATTAATTTATTAATGATGAGCACTGAACTGCCTTAGCAGAGGTCTGTACTTCTGGAGTGATTGTCTAGTTTGTATCATGTATAATTGAAATTTTATTTTAAAAATACATATGTTGACATGATAATCTCCTAGGAACCATTTACAATGAATTCTGTTGAAGAAATAATGCACACAAACTCCAAGGGGACTCTTGCCTTCAGATAATGCGAAAAGACTAATGTGCCTCCTCGTTTCCAACGTACTAGTATGATCACCAGTTTTTACTATATTCTACTCAATGACATGAGATGGGTAAGTGGGTAAATCTGACTGCATTCAGCAAGACCCTGTAGAGTTAGTGTGTGTTAGCTAGGTGGACATAATTCATTGTGAATGGTCCCTGATACAGTTAGCATATATTAGCTAGGTGGACATAACTCATTGTGAATGGTCCCTGATACCGTTAGTGTGTATTAGCTAGGTGGACATAACTCATTGTGTATGGTCCCTGATACAGTAAGTGTGTATTAGCTAGGTGGACATAACTCATTGTGTATGGTCCCTGATACAGTAAGTGTGTATTAGCTAGGTGGACATAACTCATTGTGAATGGTCCCATAGTTACCTTGATAACATAATATGGTAGGGTAGAAATCCTGGGATCATTTTCTTAATCAACTGAACTGGGAGCCACAGCATCAGGAGAACTGTGGTACCAAATATCACCTGCAAGACAAGACCACAGTGAGGTGAAATAGCTTTCTCTTCACCTCTTGTGTAAAGATGGTAAAATTGTGATCAAGGCCTTTTGATGAAGAACTGAAATACCATGCCTCAAAGGTTAAAAGTGTAATGTTTCTTTAGAAATGATTTTTAACCAATGAAAAAAGTGGCACCACAAGGTGTAAAGCAAGGTTTAATGTTGCAAAATAACTTACAATGAAAGTTCGTCTTAACTGAATATGATACTTCAGTCAGACAAATAACAATTCAAATAGACACTGTATGTAAGGCATGCATTCACTCTTGATTACATGGGATTTTTTATCAGGAAGCCCAATTATTCCACACGTCTCATTTCACAATACAACTTAGTTAAAAACTGGGCTTAACTTAAAAATGAAAATTTTAGTTATCTTTAACCCAGGATTTGTCATAGTCAGCTACAAAGAAAAAACAGTTCAAGCATGTTTTCAAAAAGGCTAAGTAAGGTAAATGTTAAAAACTTTCAGATTTCTTTACTTTACAACTTCAAGTTTACTTGGTAAATGGCTAAAGTAGAAATTCATTGAATCATATTTGGATACAACCACAAACTTACCATGCTTGCCAAAAACCTCCTCATGTGTCTCAACACTGGCAGGTGGATCATCTAGCCGTGGAAATATTGGAAAGAAAATTCATTAGCTATTCACAATGAACTTTTTTATCATGACTGATATAATGTTCTTTTATAACTGACTACCTTAGGTATTCTAAATTTCCAAACAACTCACTTGTTTTAATGATCCTTTGCCAAGATTTAGTTACTCATTTCAGAGCACTTTACATCAGCAAACTAACTTTTAAAAACTTTTAAAACATCATGATTGTGTAAGAATTTCTATAACAATATTGTTTTGTGGAAATTTATTAATTACACTTGTATGAATTTCAGAAACTATTACTGTAACTAGAAAAATAAGAAAATTTACTTAGATATGTTTCAATTAAAAGCTTTTTTTCCTCTGAAAGAATAAATCATTTGTACAGTATTCCTTGAGAGACGACCTTGCAAGGTAAAAAGGCAATAAAACTACAACCAGGAATATCTTCAGAGACCTTTGATTCAGTTGAATAACAGTCCATTCATCAAAATTGTGATATCTTGTTGACTTTCAAACAAACCAAAAAGGAAAAACCAAACCTGATAATAGCTTCACCTTATTTGTTGGCAGAGAAAATAAGTCTGAAAATTTTACTGTATCAAGAAAAGCCTAAAAATAAACTAATTATATAAGTTATAAAACCAACATCTTGAGGAAAACAATTTATTTTGTCTAAAAATGTCATTTCCTTTGTCTAAAAATGTCATTTTCCAGAAACCACACTGCTGTTTTCAAGCTCGAGCTTACACCAGATAATTTGGTGTCCTCTGATATTTGCATCAGTTTCGGTCTGTAATGTCATCATTCAACCCTAGTCTATAGATATAATATGAATGTACTATTATGTACAGCATCTGTTCAGACCACAATAAAAAAAATTCTATCCACAATTATTAACTCTCATACCACAACTTCCTTGGCAAACAATATGAAAAAAAAAACTGATTAGGTTAGAAAAACTCCATGTCCAAATAACTGTACTGTCAGCATGTCAACAAGTGTGCTCTAACAAACAAACAAAAAAATTATGAAAGAAAATAACCTCCAACGTTGACAATGAAAAAGAAGTTCAAGACATGTCGTAACAACATCAGGAAGAGAATATTTATCTTTCCATTTCAATCTACAATGAATCACAAGAACATGCTGAAATATAGCTGTTAGCCAGGATAAGAACAATAGTAACCAAGTAGGAATTTATACACCTCTGGGAAACCTAACTGGCAATTAATACCAAATAATGCTTATTGTGGATCAAAATTCATTTCTGTGGCGTAGCATTATACACTCAAAATTACAACAATAGTATTTTTCCCATTAATATCTAACCATAAGTTATTTGTTTCCCACTTTTCAGCACCTAACAAAACACCTTCATTAAGGAATGAAGTGGAAACAATTTCCCTAGAAGATATCTGTTGGGACAGCTACATATTATATGTATTTAACCAACAGATAAAAACTTTAGGACTGAACTAATAAAGTGCAACCTATCCCTGGCCAATTTTCTATAACAATCTACAGGCTTGGTGTTCCTGAGTTCTAATAGAACAGAGGCAGAGGAGGTACAAAATACAATAATTATAATTTGTCATATTTCTGAGCCTAATCTTGGAGGGTATAATGACTCTTTTCCTCTCACCACTAGCCTCTTATATCACGTTTGAAAATTTTGAATCACTGCTAATTATAATTTGCCATATTTCTGTGCCTAATCTTGGAGAGTATTATGACTCTTTTTCCTCTCACCATGAGTAACCTTTTATATCGAGTTAAACTTTGAATAATTGCTACTTATAATTTGTAACATTTCCTTGCTTAATTTTGGCAGGTGCCTTAACTCTATTCCTCTCTCACCACTAACCTCTTGTATTTGGTTTAACTGTAAATCACTGCTAATTATAATTTATAACGTTTCTGTGCTTAATCTTGGCAGGTATAACAAATATCTTTTCCTCTCACAACTAATAAGTATTATATCAGGTTAAACTCTGAATCATTGATAATTATAATTTGTAACATTTCTTGGCAGGTAGCTTTCTTTTCCTCCCACAACTTACCTCTTGTGTGGGGTTAAACCCAGGATCATTAATTGCTTATTATAATTTGTAACCTTTCCGTACTTATCTTGGCAGGTGTCATATCTCTCTTTTCCTCCCACCACTTACCTCTTGTATGGGGTTAAACTCTGGATCATTAATTGCTTTTTATACTTTGTAACATTTCTGTAATTAATCTTGGCAGGTTTTATAACTCTCTTTTAAATTTCCTTTCACCACTTACCTCTTGTATGGGGTTAAACTCCGGATCATTTAAGTTTCTCAGAAACCAGAGCACTCCTGGTCTCAGAACCTCTCTCAGAAGCAAGATAAAGGAGGCGAAGTAGAAGACGTAAACCATCCCTACAAGCCAGTGAATAAACATGGATGTTCCGGGAGCGTTACTGAAACTCTTTTCTCGGTCTTTTAATGTGGCATCGAACATTGCCTACAACAAAGGCACACAATATAGTGAGAACAGCTATAATTCCAGCAAGAGCCAACTTAATCTTTTATTAACCACCCTTCTGACACCAACTTTAAGTGAATAATTAATGTAATATAAATAATAATATGTCTATTTTTCAAATACAACACATAAAATCCATTTTCATCGTACATAAATTTTTTAATTAATTACATTTTTAAAACCAACAACTATTATTATAATATTATTACTATCATTATTATTATTATTATTATTATTATTATTATTATAAATGGAGCATGGTCTATACGGGGGCGTCTTGATAGTCCGAAGGTTCATTGGTCCAAAGGTTCATTGGTCCAAAAAGTGGGTTCTATAGTGAACATTCGGACCAATGAACCTTCGGACTATCGCTACGGCCCCGTCTATACAAACTTACCAATGAGCAGATGTCCAGCCACCATCCACATATCAGAGGAAAGATTCCGATCTCGACCACCACCAGTAGCGCCACCTTTACCACCAAATAACACAGGCCGATTATACGCTTTGATCTGGCAAAAAAAGGATGATAAATGTCAAGACCTAAAATACAAAGTTCAAATTGCTATCTGTATAACAATACTATTATAAACAAAGGTGCATATAATAAAAAGAAAACAAATATACAATTTGAAAAAAGTCATAAAACGTTTCAGCTTAATCATTAAAAACAGAAAACTTTTCTGTTTTTAAAATTTAAAATATGTTTCAACATCTTAAAAAAGCCCTCATCAGAATTATTGTCATAAAATATAACATAAATCATGAAACAAGGCAATCTTACTTGTTAAATTTCACCAGTGCTGCTAGGGTGTGAAGTACAACTAGGGAGAGAGCAATCACGGTGTATCCTGTTAGAGTGGTGACTAGACCTTCAAATTGACTAGCCTGGACCTATGAAAAAAACAAAGATTTAAAATTGGAATAGAATTGCCACTTGTTCCCAATTGGAATGGACATAAAAAGTGACATTGTCCAACTCTGTCTTTGCAAAACTTCCTCTTATTCTCACTATCATATAAAGAGTCACCACCATGGTCTTGTAAGATTTTCATTTCCACAGCATGCATGTAATATCACAGGTTTAATACCATGGCAGGTAATTATAGTGGCACAACTCCCAAGAAATCCAGTTCCTCAGGAACAAAAAGAACCATGGTTTGAAAAAGGACAGACCCATCTTAGAGTCTTATCCATAATTTTATAACACACACAAAAATGTGATCATGCACACAAGCACCAGCACAGTTTTTTCATACATAAATATTCATGTGTACATGTAGGTATGTCCATTTATTTAAGGTATTTATGTATTTATTTAATTATTTATTAATTTATTTATTATTTATTTATTCTTACTTTCATTTTACAACTTATCTGTGTTCCTGCACAATTGAAGCAATAAATGATGTATATCTGACTACAAGTTATCAGCTCCATAAGAGAGACCATGTCACAAATTGGAACAAGAAGAACAGTCTGTGCTTTTTGACCTATGGGCACCTTAGTATGTCAGAGTCTCAAAATCTACTGGCTTAAAGCAGAAACAACACCCACTAACTGAACAAAAGTACAAAATTTTACCACTTCAGCTTTGGTTTTCATGAAACTTGGCGTGGGACCAGTGCAGACTGTCGTGACAGTCACTAATAGAGTAACTATAATTGTCAATTCCAGGAAAAACCATTTCCCTTTATTTTCTCCATTTTCTTGCTAATTTTCCAGTGGTATTTTAGTAATGACAGGGCATTGACACGCATGACATTTCAACCTTGTTCAAAATCTAGTTTTTTTTTTTTTTTTTTTTTTTCGGTCAGGAAAAAGTCAGACAATTCCAGCACAAAATTTACACTACTTTGCAGAAATTAAGTTAGCGATTCCTGTACAAAACTTATAATGTTTTATTATCATAAACTGCTAAAAAAATTATTATCTTTTCTATCCACTTACCAACTCATTGACTTTAATCCCCATGATGGTAAAATGACCAATATGGTATGGACAGAATGCTGCAATAAAAGAGAAAAACAGTTGAACTTAAGTGGGCACATTTCATCCATTTCAACACATGGAACAAAAACCATTTGGAACAAAGTAGAAAAAATATGTTGGTCAACAGATCTTTAAATCACTGAAAACTGAGAGAAAAAAATGTAATAATTCTTAAATTGATATACACATTTCCAAGGTCGGATCAGAGATCTGTGATTCAAATATTGTGGCAGTTCATAAATGTCAAACATGTTTTGAACACAAGGTTCACACCCCCCAGCCACCCCCGTGGTACACCCCATCATCCAGCCACCCCCATGGTACACCCCAGGTAAGGTGTTTTGAGATAAAAAGACCATCTTATTGGGGTACAAAGAAATGAAGTGAAATGTTAGACTAAAATACTAAGACTAAAACATGAACTGGCCCATTAATTTCTTTACTATTCTTAACAAGCCAGCAGAGCTGCCAAATGTACAGACACAAGGCAGAAAATAATTATGCTTGTGAACAATGTTTTTTCTGGTCCGTTTTGATGCAATTTTACATAATGCTCAACAGCATAATCAAACCAAATTTAGATTGTGCACCACTGGTAACATGGACATTCAGATTATGCAACAAGGCCTTAAGGAAATATGGATAATGTGTGTGTGTGGGGGGGGGGGGGGGGGGGAGATAATTGCTTGACCACTTTACAAGATCTTAGTCCAGTAATAGTCTTCCTCATCCAGGGTGAGATAGTTTTTATCTTAAAAGCAGGGTCAGTCCATGTTAAGGCCATTTCTATAACGATTAAGACCAGGTAAGGTCATCTGTGATCTGAAATTGCAGATTCAGATCATTTTAGGCCCACTACCTGCACACCTAGAGATGGCAGGAGTTGTGTTTACAGCTCAAATGGAGACTTCACAAGATAAAGAGCACCTGTGTCTTCACTGCAAGATATTTACACTGTAGTTACAGCTCTCACTGAATCCATCAACCAGAACTGACTACCTACTCCAGAGTCTACTTCACTTCTTCACTGGTGAAATAAAACTAAACACATTCTTGACTCCTTATATGTAGTGAAATGCAAAAACAAACTGCTGTGGCCTTAGACAAGAGGCAACTGAGTTAATGATAAGATAAATCATAATCGTTATAACTCTGCTGAATACACATTCATAGTCCATTCTCTCCCACCAGTTTACTGCTGAGAAGAGATAACTGCTCTACATAGAACGGTTCACTACACACCCCCAAAATGGCTACAGGTCGTGATGACAGAGAAGAAAGCCTACAAGCCAAAATAACTGAATATTTTGTCAGCTGTCCATTATGCCTTGTTGAGTACAAAGACCCGACAGATTTACCATGTAGGCATACATTTTGTAAAGGTTGTCTGAAGACTTATATTTCACACTCAACACCAGGAAGTAAATTCCAATGTCCTGTGTGTCAGAAAGAGACTGAAGTTCCTAAAGATGGCCTTGAGGGCTTCACTCACAGTTTCTTCATGGAAAGCTTGCAGGACATTGTACTTCAGTCAACACATAAGAAAAAGTGCAGCTTTTGTGTTTTGTTGTCCCAAACTAAAACAGTGGCTACTTCAAAATGTATCACCTGCAATGACTACCTATGCGACAATGTTCTCCATTCCACTGTGCTACCACACTCACTAAAGATCACAGGGTACTCACTTTTCAACAACTTCACAGCAGTGAGTATCAAAAAGAAATCCAAGAGCAGCTGATTATTATCTGCCCAGAGCACAAAGGTGAGATGATACGATTCTTTTGTTCAGACTGCAGTGTCCCCATTTGTCGTGACTGCAGAGATCTAAACCATGATGGCCACAAACTTACCTCCCTTGAAAAAGCTGCAGAGATGGTAAAGCCAAAACTTTTGACCAAAGTCTGTAGTATGGAGAAAAAAATTGAAACAGGTGAGAAAACAATAGCTAAAATTGATGAAATATTGGCAACCCTCCAAGAAAATGAAAGCTTTGTTCAGCAGAAGATCAAAGCTCGTGCAGCTCATCTACGTCAACTGGTAGATCAACGAGAGAAAACCTTACTACAGAAGCTTTATCAAACCACCAGCACTCACAGAAATAATTTACAAATTTCACACAAAAACTGCAGTGCCACTTGCTTCTCTATCAAAACCACAACAGATGTAGTAAAGAACATCCTTCAGCATGGTGCCCCCATAGATGTCCTCATGTTACACCACCAACTTGGACAGAGACTAGATGAGCTACAGTCCACTTCAGCTGTGGATGATATTCCAGAGGAACTAAAACTCACACTAACCGTCACCACAGAAGTGGACCAAGAGATATCCAGTGGGGCTGGCCTGGGGAATGTGCAGATATCTAGCCAACCAGCTTTGCCCAAGCTCAAACCAAAGGCTGAATGTATGCTGAAGTTTGACACTGGCTGTCTGAGACCAGTGGACATTTCAGCAAGTCCAAACAGGGAGTATGTTACTACACATGACATGTACAACAAGGTCAAGGTTTTTAGTTCAGATGGTACATCAAGGCAAGAGATCACCAGTGTCTCAGGCAAACAGCTGAAATTTCCAGTAGGGATCTGTCACTTCCCTGATGGAAGGTTGGTTCTAGCCTGTAGAGATAATAACAAACTCTTCATCCTGTCACCACAGTGGGAAGTACAGCAAACTGTAGATGTCAATAACCCATTTGGTGTGGCTCTCAATGACAGCTGCACTAAGATTGCTGTGGCGCAGCATTATAAAGAAAAGTCTGTGAGTGTGTTCAGTTTTGATATCAAAGGGCAAATAACTTTAACTGGTGTGATAAAGGACAAAGATGGGGAGCAGTTGTTCAATTCACCATATAAAGTAGCATATATGAGCAATGGGTGCCTTGTTGTTAGTGATGAAACACCAAACAAACTTCACATCCTAACCCCATCTGGTGACCCACTGTATCAGTACACAGGACCTGATAACAAGTTAGGTCGACCCCATGGTGTCTGTGTTGATGCATATGACAACATACTGGTTACAGATGTTGATAACCACTGCACGCACCTTGTTTCCCCAAATGGGAAGTTTATCCAGTACATAGCAACTGAAGCTGATGTACTAGAATACCCATGGGGATGTACCATTAACAAGGATGGAGACCTGGTTGTGGCTCAAAGGAATGGGAAAGTGAAAGTATTCCAATACTTGAAAAAATTACATTCTTTAAAATGCTAAGCAACTGAACATTGTGCACTTTTCTGACAAATTTCAAATTAAGCAGCATACAAGATAGCAAAGCATCCAAATGTAAAAACACAAAGCAGAAAATAATGATGGTAGTGTATAAAATATTTTTTTATCAATTTTGATGCAGTATTACACAATAATAAACAGCATAATCAGGTGGATGGGAGTTAAAAGTAATATCTTGAAAATGACAGTGTTTGAAAATAAATTAAAAAGATAAGATAGCAAAAATATTCCAATAAAGCTGCTATTCAAACTTTTGATCTGGCTGTATTAACATGATATGAATAAACCCACTGAGTTTGAGGATAATAAGGCACTATTATTCATCTATAGCATTAATGTTGGCATTACACTAAATAATTTTTTCTTTTGTAAACTTATTTTCAATATTAAACAACATTTACCTGACTTATCACAGATTCCTTATCATGTGACACTGTTAACTTAGTCATTGGCAAACTGTATCTGGCAGAGTGCAGAGTGCTAATAATTGAACACATACAATAATTTTCATAAAGTAATTTAGACTGAGCTGATATGGCACTTACCAAACACTAAGATAAAGAGAGTATTTAGTGAGACCACCCAAAACACATGTTCCTGAAATAAAAATATATTCATACCTTAAAGAAGCATGTTTAAAATTCTGCCAAGTAAATGTATGGCACACATCTTTTTTAATCTCTTAGAATAAATTATGCAATTTAAATGAAATTTTACTTAGTAACTTAGATTGAATATTAAATGTCTTTTTATCGCTATTTTCTGAACCTATATTTGTTTAAAGCTGTATTAAATAAAGGGTCAATAATAATCAATAATTTAATTTTTTTTACAATAATTCATTTAGCAATTTTAAGACATAACTTAGAAATTTGCTTTTATATTAATAACAAAAAAGTTCTGTTTAAAATATTAAAAAAAATAATTGCAACTTACCAGGAATACCAGAGATCCATCCAGCCCTAGCAGCTGAAAATAAAACATAAATTACAATGAAAAACTTAATATCTGTTTTTAGAATTATCCTATAGGAAATGTAAAATCAATTGTTAATGACACATACTGCCACAGACATGATAACATACATATGCCATGTTATGTTAGCCATGTTATGTTAGCCATGTTATGTTAGTCACCTAGGCAAATAACTACCAACAGCAGCTACGACACTGGATTGGTAAAAAAAATTATTTTTTTCAAAAGTTACTAGTTTAGTTGACCTAGAGGATACTCAGGGAATTGACTTTGATAAAATGTCCATTATCTACAGAAGTCATCTTTGACTGTAACTTTTTATAAAGTATACTAGTTGTTTACTGAAATCTTCCCATCCCAGTGAACCATGGACTGACATATTAAGAGCACTATCTGCATATGCCAAGCATGGTTTGAGTTGAACCATATCAAATTTTCACAACCTTAAAGTTATGTTCAATGTTTGGTATAGAACAACTTGTAAAATAGTTCCATGGTCTCCACTTACCCTTTCCCAAGTGAGCTCTTCGGCAGCCCTATCCCACTCTATGGGGTTCCAGTTGACTTCATCTGGGAGAATAAATTAAAATCTATCCACTGCAGTGATAAAACATTTTAATAACTTCTACAACTACAACTTTGTAATGAACTTTTACTGTCGTTTCTAGATAAGCCAGAGTCAAAATTTGAAAATTTTGTACTTGTCAACAACTAGCATTCTAAGGATTTGTTTTTAAGATAGTTTGTGTGTTTGATTGACATTTCTGGCAATCAATTTCTGATGAAATATATATCAAATGTCATCCACTATCCCCTACCTTGAGGCTGGTTATTCACTTCGTTTTCATCCTCCTCTCCATCTTCTTCCCCATCCTCCTCAGCTCCATTTTGATTGGCTGCTCCCTGACCATTACCTCCATTCTGATTGGCTCCTGCAGCTGCTGCACCCTGATTGGCTGCAGCATTCCCTCTCTGGAAAAAAAATCAAAACATATATTATACCTATCAGCAGATTTTTTCAAGTTAAAATATTAATCTACAAATCAATACTAATAAGAATAAGTGAAGCACTGGAGAATTTTAATTGTACTTCCATACATAAGGATACAATTATGTTATTTAAGGATAAGAGTTATGAAAGTACAGCAGCAAAACATGTTCAGTGGAATTTGACTGAAAGAGTCTTGATTTACAAAAACCACTTTTAGTAAGTTTTGAACTGATTTACCCAAATATTATTTATAATTATTGCTGAATAATTTTTTAAAACTTTTTTTTGTAGAGGTTGGGGTGGGAAGGCTCCAGTACTAGTCAACCTTACATAATAGACTATCTCATTAAAAAACATAAGCCAAGCTACAAAAATTTTGGTCTTTTTGTTATAAGTGACAAAGGTGTTCATTTACCTGCTGATGATTGGCTGGGTTTTCATTATCCAGCCAGTCTGGTCCCCCTCCATGGAGGATCTGTTCTCTAAGCCAGACTAAACTGATGAATGCACACAGTGTACACGTCACTACAAAGCAGCCCTGGAGGCAGTCAGTAGCTATGTTTTCTCTGAAAGAAAATGATTTAAAGATTTTGAAAGTGACAAGAAAGTACTTAGTCTTAGATTTAGATTTTCACATATTAACTGATTCACTTATTCATTTATATATTTATCCATTTGATTTCCTTTTCCTGTCTTCTGAAATAAATGAAATCTTATTTCAAGCATGTGAGACTTCTATGAATGGCATATTAATGACACTGATGTTTAATAGGTGTACTTACGTAGATAACATATCCAGAGGGAGAGTTAATAAAGAGCTCACGGAGCCAGTAAATAAACTTCTGTAGATTCGACCTAGAGAAAAAAAATATCACTGATTATCATTATCTTGATGAGGCAGAGTACAAACTTAGAATAAAATTGCCGTTACACTTTAAAATATTATTTTAATGAACTATGTTTTTCAAATATCATTATGATAATAACCAGCCAGCAGTCAACATTATCCTCTACAGGAAAGGAAAACTCCTATTCTCGATGTAAAATCTCGACATGTAAGAAGCATCACCAAATGTTATAAAGGCAAATCAATGAAAAACATAAATACTAAAAAAATTGTAATGATTTTTTGCTGTCAAAATATCCAGTATTGCCCACTCACAGGCCATGAGAGGTACCACCCCCAGCCAGGCAAAGGCCACCAGAGTGTAGTGGAACCAGTATCTGACAGCCCTCCCTATACTCTTCAGTAGACCAGTGATGATGTCCTGGAACGGCAATCTTTTTGGCATGTCTGGCGAATATACTGGAATGCAAAGTAATATACGATTATCTCTAACTTAAATCATATACATTGTTCTGTAAAAAGACTCCACAAAATGATTTGTAAGTAATTCTTTTATATTTTGTTGGATTTGAGTCCAAAGATCTTTTCTTTTCTTAAAAATAAAACAGAGAAAAACATTTAAATTACAGCAAAAAATTGTCACAGGGTATATACAAAAGAAATACATGAACCACTGACTATACAATCTAACACAGTTTACTAGTAATATAATCCACATCTATCTCTGACATGTCTAGTAATGATCTCTGACATTTGATGATTATAATGTCAAAAATAAAATAAATAAAACAAGAATTCCTCTACTTACTAGGTGTGAAGGAAAAACGGTGGTTACAAAGTTCACAGAACTCCTTCCGACTGTACTTCAACCACTGCACGAGACTGAAATGGAGTTAGGAGGAGGATAAATTTCTGAAGATGTTAACTTGCAAATATGCTGTTCTATTAAAGTAAAGAAGTACCATGAATTTACAAGGGTATGTTTTAAGAGTAGAAGTGATGCTCTTACTTATGGCTTGGTGACTGAAGGAAAACGTTTCAAATTATCAGTAATGTAATAAGTGCTATTAAACTGTCTAATCCCTATTGTATGTATTCTGTACACTATAATTAAAAGATTATGTCACACACATAAACTCGGTTTTATTATTATTAACATGATCATAATAAGAAATTTTAAAATTATAATCATTATAAGTAATAGCAAAGGGTAAAAGCAAACATTATCCTTACCATTCCTGATGTATAAACTTAATACTGCCAGTACAAACACAGGGGTGGAAGAGTGGTTTATCTGGGCCCCCCTCCGACCTGCACACACGACAGATGTGCTCTGGAAAAGAAAATGAAAATCAGAAGACATAGCTGCTTAAAGAGAAGTGCCAGGTTTATGTCAAGAAATTAATAAATGATGGGTCTTGTTTTGTGAAAAAGAATTCTCAAGTTTTTCATTTCAATTGGGACTAACAAAGTCTAATATCAAACTGCATAAAATAGTCTTAGTCAGTGTGTCATAGTGTGAAATATAATAAATGTTAATTATGTAGTTCAGTATGTGTCATCACATAGATCTGAAATCACTGTCTAGACTATACAATTTGATCTTGGGGCAATTAGTTACAAGACCCAAAAAGTTTGGTAACTTTTTTGTCTTTTGGGTAATATACCATTCAGTCAGCTAAAATTCTTAGCCATCTTTGCTTAGACATCATTTGAATTTTAATGCAACAGGCCATTTTTAATATAATAACAATGCTGAAACACCATCAGTATCACTTGATTGCTGCTTAGCTCATGTTCAACTCATCCATAAAGTATTAGCTCATTAACCACACTGTTCTGTTCTTGTTTTTACCATAGTCACAGTGATAATACCATAGTCACAGTGATAATACCATAGTCACAGTGACAATACCACAGTCACAGTGATAATACCACAGTCACAGTAATAATACCACAGTCACAGTGATAATACCACAGTCACAGTGATAATACCGCCTTGAACTCCAGCTAACACCTGCAGAGTTCAGAGACCCTGTCATGTCTGGGTTATCATCATGATTAATATATGATTAATACAGTCCATGTACCAGATAGCTGGGACCAGGAAGCCATTCTAGTTTATTGCAATTTGTTAACATATAAAATATATTAGCTATAGTTTTATATAGCAAGAATCTTGAACTACTTGAATACCAAACAAGCCCACGGTATTTCACAACTTATAATTACTAATAGATGTAATATAGTAAGTGTCAAAATTATTTTGTCCTTTGCACAAGGTGATTCCCCTCCCCATGACAACAACTGCTCTAGTGCCAAGTTATAAAAAAATATTGTACTAAAAGATATGGTTTGTAGAAATTTGTCATTTTCTGATAATATGTGGACAAAGAAATGTCCCATAAGAGACAAAAAATGGTGGAGGTTTGGACTTAACTTACATCCCTTAAGTTTTAGTGAGTTACTATGAAAGTCAGGAGAACCTGTAGTACAAAAAATATTATTTTGGATTGTACTTTAACACAAAACCTAGTCAGTCTAGGAACAGGAACTGTGATATTATCAAACATCAAACATCTGTGATATTATCAAACATCATGCAGGTCATCTGACATCTCAAGTAGAACTGGCGATTTCCCTACCTCTGTACACACAGTAAAGTGAGAAGGGGGAAGGGCTAGTCTACATGTACATGTATGTTCCTCACTGTGCCCCCCCCCCCCCCCTTGGAGATTGTAAATAATTACATCGTGCACTCATTTTTTACGTTAATTCTCCAAGTTCTAAAACCCTTCTTAACATAACACTTAAAACGCCCCTTAGCAAGTTAAGAAGCATGGATGACAAACAACGCGTTGATAAAAACAAGCAAAAACGATTATGTAAGCCTGTCTTTTCTCTGAGTCTGTAGAAAGGGAAAGCAAGACTAACATGCAACGGGTAATCTACCGGTATATGAAAAATCTTCATGTTTTTATATTCGTGGTATTTAAAGGGTGCATTGTAACTTAAAGTCACTGGAAATGGGTTGTAAAAGAACAACATTTGCCACAAGTCCTTATGAAAACATAAAATATTGCTATTACCTGAGTGCACGTCCCAGTCGGCCATTTTTGCGTGATACTCTTAGATGTCGTAATGGGTTTGGTAACTGCGTAGATCATTCCTCGCACTCATTCTCACCTAAAATGCAATTTTTTCAATAAATAAACATGATTATGTTGCATTTAAACATATTTTAGATATTTCAACCCTCGTACATTGAAACATTGGTTGTTCATTTGACCTTGATAACGACAGGTGGAAATGGGCTCTAAAGACCATTTTCGGCACGGTCTCCAATCAAAACATTCCAAACTTCATCAATGTATCACTGAAGACGAGTTGTCATATCTTTGAATATGCCACAAGCTGGCGAAGGACAGTTAACAGAGGTGGCATCAAATCCACCGACAGCTCTAAAAGAGCGCTCTAAGTCTGCAACATGGGAGCATGAACCGCTTGCACACGTGAGTTATTTTTCTGAAAATTTCAATTTGGATAAACTAAAACTTGGAAAGTTGGACATTAAATTAAATACTGTAAAAAGGTTGCTTTTTCTAAAATAGCTAACAGTTTTAAAACAGTTGTGTTCTGACAAGAACAACTCCGTCCCTCTGTTGTTAATATGACAAAAATGCCCTAGTTATAATAAAATAACCCTGACCCAGCCCATTGTCATTGTTATGGTTTAATTTACATTTAAACCACAATATGTAAATTTAAACAATCCTTTCTGTGTGACAAATGCAGGTTCTTTGATATAGATAAGAAAGTGCAAAAAGAGTGCCCGTACTGTGCCTAAGTGTATGTTGAAATACTGTATACATTCTCTATCATGCAATTATTTTAATTCCCCCCCCCCCCAAAAAAAAAAAATAAAAATAAATAAATAAATAATTGCATTTCACTTATTTATAGATTTTTTCAATTCATGGCAGTAATTGCAATATTTGAAAGTAATTCACTTCAAGACGTGAATATTTTTTTAATTAGTTTAATTTTAAAACTTTGTTTTCTGATTCATGTACATAGACAGTGCCTTCTGTGATCCTTTTTGTTTGAGGCGAGGATGTTCATTTTGTTTGAAACCTATGCTGCATATAGAAATAATGTGATCTTAAAAATACAGACCATATATTTTTAAATTTATAAATCATGTACTCCAGAAAAATTGGGAAGACTGAAAATTATTTTATCCCGCTCCAATTACCATTTTAAAGGTCTGAATTATTGAGAAGGATAAGTACTGGCAGCTTTGTAGAAAGTTTCCTGTAGACACAGAAAATATGATTTCAGGAAATTTTTTAACTTGGATTATACACCTTTTAGTTAACAGTGACGCAGTGAAAAGATAGCTAATGGGCCTAAATTAAAAAATACATATATATTAGTATGACCACAGCCTCTTGTTTTATATTATCTATTTAACTGTTCATTCATTTAGTATTATTATCATTCCTGGTATTTTTATGATATTTTATTTTTGATCACATAGAATGAAAACAACAATATCACTACCAAAACCAGTGTTACCTGTATACTGTATAAGAGATCAGTAAAAACTGTGAACCACATCCAGTCCACATTGCATCAACACATACCTGGCTGATCTCACCTAACACAATGAGCTCTCTCTCTCTCTCTCTTTTACACACACACACACACAGTTAGTCAAGATTTTCAATGGGGGGAATATGTATTGTGATTTTTACAGATACTATACAGTTATTTTTAGATCATAGTTTCCTAAATTAAAACATTGTTTGTTGAGTGGTAGCAACAAAATTAAAAAGCAAGCTACATGTACTCTGTGGTTCTATTCTGTGCAGTAAAAACAACAGAGGTGGTTTATAGAAATAAAATTGTGTGATTATTAAATTATGTATCTGGAAGTTTGATAGTTTTTGCCCATTGAAAAGATCAAGTATAGTACTTATGTACTGGTTATAATTATGCAGAGGGCATGAAGTGCCATAATTGGTGAGAATTAAAATATTCTTCCTGGTTGATCATTTTACTGCATTTTTCAAAGAACAAAGAGTCCTTGATTCTAGCCCACCCAAAAGCCACTTTAAATGTTTATTAGTGTTTCATTAGTCAGTGACATATATAATTTTTTTTTCAAATCAAGGTTAGAAATGAAGGAATTGACTTATAGTACATGATTAATTTACATTCCGTTAATCAATCTATTCAATGGATTTTTAAAGTGAAATCCATCATTCTCCATATTGAAACAGCTATATAATCCACCCCTGTAATTTATAATTTAGTTTTGGACATGGTGTCGGTGTACCTTGGCAATTAAGGGGAAATGTTTGAATTTACAGAAAAATAAAATATTTCCTTTCTTAAAGTCTATCATGCCATATGTGGCTTATACAGTCATTACTCATACAGTATATCTCTCTCTGGCATTGATCTATATTCTTACATATATGTTGGACAACAAGCTGACATGATTCAGATACAATATATTTATATAAATCTACTTTGCTGAACCAAACTGAAGCACAGTACTCAGTAATTAAGAATTTGCCAAAAGTAAAATAAAATCCATTTTCATTTTTCATACCCAGATTTAATCATTTTAAAGAATACAGTCATGTGATAGCTGGAGTGAGCCAAAAAACTACTTAGCTATTCACTGAAAGGTGTATTTAAGTTGAGGGATCCTGCTTGCCAAGTTTTATGCCTTTTATCACTATTTTCTTTTCATTTTTTGTACAAAATGACTTACCTTCAGTTGGTACATGTACTTGCCAGTTTCAGCATTGATTTTCAAGAAACATGTCCGAAGTACTGTTCAAATCTATCTCAGAATCCAGCCTCAAGGTGAATGTTAAGTAAAGGTTTGGCTTAAGGCCAAGCAAATGGCCTGGTCTGCTTAATAACCTACTCATATGCATCGTCACACTCATCTTCATTTCACTTTAATAGGCATTTTCAGCCATATGTGAAAAGCTTATTCCTTGCCTGTTCAAATTTTGATTTTCAAAATGTAAAAAAAAAAAACATTAATTTTGCATATATACAGTAATTTGACTCAGATATTTCCTTTGCCTTATCCTGTGAACCAAAGAGAGGCAACAGTGGCCTAAAATGAATTCACTGTTACAATGAAATATTGCCATGTAAAGAAATAAGAAATAGCACACACCAATAGCGGTATCATTATGTGCCACACAATACCCAACACTTGCTCTTTCAAAAGAAAAATAAACACTGAATTCAATAAAGTTTTGTATTGCTGTAACTCTGGTTTCTTTCTCAACAACACTGAACTATGTGTAATCAAAACAGCGTCAAAACAGCAACACATAAACTACATTGTTTGGAGATTTTGTGCTAGATCTATTCTCTCAGTTTGAAAACACAACAAAGCCCTTTATTTGTGAACAATCCTCCTGGCCTTTCTCCGTAATTTGTGACGAAACTGTAATAAAGAGACCTACAGAGTCAAATCTCAGTTTTGAATGAAAAGATTCAAACAGGGGCTTAAAGCAAGGGAGCAATACAATCAAATACACTTAGTGGTAGTTTCTATAGTGTAGCCTCTGCCTCAGTTTCACACTGTTTGTATTGAAGGCTAATATAGTACCCACACACATCACTGAAATACTAGTCTGGATTAGCTAGAGACTTCATAACTTAAGGCTCCTGATATGATTGTATTTTCTTGGATGGCAGAGCATCTTTTTGGATAATCTTTCAGCTAAGCTACTTTCATGTTGACTTTCATCAGAAACTTGGAATTAGTATAGGGGTTGTAATTTCCCCCCACAGCTGAGATTTAGGAAATTACTGTGATACTCTTTAACTGAAGAGAGTCTCAAGTGTCGAATGGCATGCCAATCATCTCGATTTAATCTGATTTGAGTGGCAATCGATTAATTTGACATCATTTACACCCGTGAAGACCTGTGGATTGTGGAGAATTGACGGCTGTTCGAATTATTTTCAATTAAGCCCCAAAGCTTCAGGGAGCGCAGTAACACTATCGTTGAACATTTGACATTTACTCAGTAATTGCACATGATGCTGGTGCTTTGACTGTGGGACATTTACGTGGATTATGTCAATAGGCATTTAGTTCTATGTATTGAGGGAGAGTTGTGTTTGTGTGCTATTTGTGTACTCAAGTAGTCTGCTGATAAGACGGAGAACTGTTACAGACATTTATTGAGACCTGGAAATTGGGTTTTAAAGCTCAGATAAAAGTCTGACAAAAAGGAAAGTACAAATTCAGATACCATGGCTCTAGTGGAGAAAGCTTTAATGAGAATAGTAAGTCTTTTGTTTTATATAATACCATGCCTGTATCTGATAGGGAATATTGAGTCATTTACTTGCATGCCATAAACTGCATGATGATATGAATAAATAGGTTATTTAATTACTAGCCACAGAGCACATTTTTTTTTATCTCATTCACAATAAATTGGTCGTTGAAAAGTGCATGGTAGTCTTAATTGTCAGGAGGTCAAACTTAGCAAATTGTCTTTCTTTAGGCATATGCCATAGGAGGAATGCCCTATCATTGGCAAAATTTGTGATTGCTTTATCTATTCACTGGTATTATGGATTTTTGTATGGCACTAAAACTATATTGGAAAACTGTCATTTCTTTTGCCAGCCATTTATGACATGGGGGGGGGGGGTCTCTTACCCCTTACTTGACCCAACCTGAGAAATGGCAGTAAACCAAGATCAAATTTCCATTCAGACTTTTTTCTGGCCAAAATATTATCATTAACAAAATATCACAATAATTCCAGGTGAAGCAGCGTGTCCTACGCGGACATGAGGATGCAGTCCAGTCCTGTCAGTACTGCTGCGATGACCAGAAGATCCTGACCGCGTCCTTCGACAAGACGGTAAAACTGTGGGGTGTGGAGGAGGGGGAGGTGGCGCACTCTTTTGAGGCTCACACTCACCATGTGAACCAAGCAAGAATGAGTCCTGATAACAAGAAGTATGCTTCTTTGTTATCTTTGCATTTTTTCTTAACTTATTTCTTCTCTTTTATGATATCAATAGCTTTTTACAACATTGCTCACTTTTCAACACTTGTATTAAGAAGTGGTAAATTCTAAGTACATAAAGCACACTCAAGCACAGTCAATCACACCTAGCACATTTCAAACATTTGACATATGGATGACTAATATACTGCCTTTTGACAACTGTTCCATTATTATTATGATGATTTATTTATTTTTAACACAGAATGGTATCAGGAGGCTGGGATAAGAAGATGCATGTTTGGGATGTGCAGACAGGAAGAGTTCTGGTAAGTGACAATCTGGAACATTCCATCTCCTTTCTGAGGCAGCATCCTGCATCAGATCAGTAAATGAATATGGTTTTTAGAGTTCATTTTGTGAGTAAATTTTCCCAGAGTTTATTTAGCAGTTGGCCTAGATTGCTTTTTTATCATTTACAATGTACATACTTATCATCATGGGACCAGTTGATTTCTGAAGATTACAGGTTCAAATGACCAGCGTGCTGATATGATTATTTTTGATTTTTACCTTTTTTAATTAATTTTCCATTCAATTTTTTTATATTTGATTACTAATTTTTCCCTTACATATCTATTTGTCTGTTTGTTGTCTCTCCCTCTAGTGGACAGCTGACCACCCCGGCATAGTGACCAGTGTCAGTTTCTCCAAGGACGGCAAGTCCATCGTCTCCTCCTCAGACCTGGAGTATAACATCAGAGTCTGGGACACGGAGGAGGGAAGGATGATCAGCGAGATCAAAGGTCAGTGAAGGTCTTTGGGAGGGCCAAAGGTAGACATGTTTTCAAAAAAAAAATCAGTCCTCTATCCTTGTAACACTTTCAACAGCTGCAATGATTTATTTATCTAACTTACGTATGCATTTTTCACTTTGTCCACTTTGTGAATTATTATAGAATTATCTTCAAGGTGCCCATGCCAGTGCAGTGACCAGTTGTAACTTCACACCAAGAGATGACCGCTTGACCACCACTTCCATGGACATGACATCCAAATTCTGGGACCTCAAATCACAGAAGTGCACCCTGACCCTGAGGTAAGATGTTCTACATTCTGTCTGTGTTAAATATATTTACCTAAATGGCAACATGAAGCTATCTGTCTGAGTTGGAAAAGATAATTGGCTTCTGCTCTGAAACAAGGATATGTTAATTTACATATAAGGTTCCAAATACAGATAGTATACTTCATATTAATGCAAACATTTTTTTTTTCAGATAGTTTATGATAAAATTCAATCCCAGTTATAGATTTGCTTATGAAAAAAAATGTTGTATGTAAAAATATTATGATCCTATGCGGAATATCTAATAGAAAGTGACTTTTATCAAAACGTAAATGAATTTTTCTTTATTTCAGAGGACACATCAATATCATCTCAGATTGTAGTATAACAGCAGATGAGAGACGCTTTGCTACTGCATCATGGGATAAGACTATTGCATTGTGGGATATTGCCACAGGGTCGTACAGGTATGGCAAGAAATATTGATGACGTAAAAATTGAGACAAAATGGTCTAAAGGATAGAAACAACAGCATTTTTAAAGGTCAAATTTGTTTTTCTGTAGTCATTGTACCAAATTAGATATACAGAATATTGTAATAAAATGAATTTTTTAATTTTATTTTTATTTTTTAAGATCCCAGGGTGCCACATACCTGAAGAAATCTCATGAGGGCAGCATCAGTTCTATAGCATTTAGTCCAGATGGTAAGCGAATTGATAGTTTAAAAAGTTTTCTTTTATGATATTTCCATATATTTAGTCCAGCTAAGTCCTGGTAAGAAAATTGGTGGATCACATAGTTTTGCTTATTTTGTTAAATTTGCACATGCTTTCAGTTATCATAAGACAGTAAAATATCCATAAGAATGAATTTTTTTCTATAAAAAGGCAGACCTGGGCTGTGGTCAGTATTTCAAGTACCCTCAACCAGGGCCGCAGATTATATTATGTGGACATTTTCTCTGACATGAATACAGAGAAAAACCATCAATTTAACCAGAGACATTTCCATGAAGTGAAAAATCAATATGTGGCCCAGGTAGAGGGCATATTTCAAGAGGTGGGGTCTTTTTGTGAAATAGTTGATAATGCCACGGGACCAAAGATCAAGATTTCATTCAGAACAGGTGTTTTTCCCAGCCAAATGTGTGGTTGTTATTTTAGTAATTGATAAAACTTTGTTTTTCAAGTGTATTGTTGGGATTTGACAGATATGTCTTAAAAGTGTATTTTCAAAACTCCTAAATGATAATGAATTTATTTATTTATTTATCTATTTATTTATTTATTTCTGTATCTGGTACTTCAGGCTGCATGCTGGTATCTGGTGGCTATGATATGAACATTGAATGTGGGGCACAGATATAGAATTCATTATTTATTTATTTATTTATTTATTCCGGGCTCCATGCTGGTTTCTGGTGGCTATAATAACAACATGGTGGTGTGGGATGGAGATAATTATTTTATTCATTTATTTATTTTTATGTATTTATTCTAGGCTCCATGTTGGTATCTGGTGGCTATGATATGAATATGGTGGTGTGGGATGCAGATAACTGTGCTCAGAAACTAAAACTTCAGGTGATTTTGTCTCCATCTTTCATTTTCTGTTGAATTATAGGATTAACTTTTGTCTGGTTTTGTTGTTATTAGTATGTGTACATATTGTTGAGATTTAACAGATATCTTAAAAAAGTATTTTCAGAACCTTCTTTACTGACAGCAAAACATATGATGATTAATTTATTTATATTTGCTTATTTCCATTTATTTAATAATCAGTTTTATCTTAAGTCATTTATTTCTTTGTTTAAGCTTTATTTTAATTTAACATTTTATTTTATTCTCTTTTATTTTATTTTTTAGGGTCATGAAAGTTGGATAGAAGATTTGTGTTGGAGTCAGGATCAAAACTGGATCATGTCATGTTCAAAGGTACACCTCTTTGCCTTAGAACTTTATACCATCAATTTTAAATAAAATCTTTCATGACATGCAGGTAAATGAAATAAGATAAAATTTTAAAAACTGATATTCAAAACAATAAATTTGAAGTACAATTATAATGTCTACTTTAAAAGAAAAAAGACACTAGAAACTTAAGCAACAAGTAAAGAAACTGAAATTATAAAAATGTAAAAGCAAGTTATTCTGACTGACAAACAAATCAACTTCTAACCATTGAAACTGGCATGACAATCACTTTAACCAGGACCACACAGTGAGATTATGGAACGTAGAAGACTCAGATGAGCTGCCTGTGGTGATGGAAAACAAGAGAACCATTGGAGTCAAAATAATCACAGTATGACACAAAAATGATTTGATTATGCTAGGATGTTTTTAAGTTTAACCAAGTGATGTGATAACGAAAATAAATTTGGTCTCTGTCAAATTGAAATTTTCATAAATGGTAGCTGCATTTCTTTTTAAAATAAATGATTTTTCACACAAATGACAAACATTTTGCTTGCTAGACTGGCCCAAGATTTCTGTTACAATCTTTTAACAAAAAATAATGCCATAAATTTTGTCTTCTAGTGCACGGAGTGCGGGAAGCCATTTTCTATGATGCAGGCCGAAGACGCCAAGAGCAAAAAGTGTGTTTTCTGTCGAATGCAGAAGAGGGACTATTTTGTACCAACCACGGAGGACCAGGAGCTGTCCTCTGGTGATGAGGCACCTGAAGGATGACCTAGTTTCAGTGAATGACCTGACCTTGAACTTTGGTTAATGTCAAGGTTGATTGATATGATACCATGTTCTGGTACATGTATTGTCTGGTACCAGTTTTTTTACCAATGCAGAAGAGAGACTATTTTTCTACCAATCACAGAGGATAATAAGTGATTAGGCTCCTGAAGAATAACCTTGTTGCATCAAGTGCACTTGACCTTTTATTAACCTCAAGGTTAAGTGTTTTTCAGGCCATAGATCTGGTTGGAATACATTTCTTCATCCTTCATTTTTCTTTCACCGCCAAGTGCAAAGTCCCATTAAAGTCTGTTTTAATCTAAATTTCATCTTATTTTTGTAAATACGTGTTCATGGTATTTAGTAATACCAGTATTCATATTTACTGTCATCATCCTAACAGCTATTGGGATTTTACATTATATGTAATAGACTGGGTTCCCATACCTAGATCGATCTAACAAGATCGGTCCATCTCCATGGTGTTTCTATCAGCTTCAGTAGCCATGACAGACATGTAAGCCGCTTAAGTTGATTGCAATTTAGTGAGAATCCCCTAGAAGATGGCTCAATCCACAGTTAGTACGATAGGGTCTGGGAATGGTCCCATAGAGGTAAAGATACAGTAAACTCTGAAACTCCCAACAGAAACCCTACAGCTGTGACAATTTAGAATTTTCCATAAACTCTATGTTGATAAGCATGCACAACCATACCATGTAAACAATGCTAAATACTGTGATACAAAATCAACCAAAGATGTTTTTCTTTTATAGACTCTCATTTCTTGCTTTTTTAATAAAATGTTTATGTTAAAGTTTTTGTTTATATTTATTTAATCTGCTCCAGTCATTTACCCTCTCTACCTTTTATATATTTCTTATATTTTTTTGTGGAGTTTCATCTTTGTTGAGCTGATAACTACCATGGGATATTCTGACGTAGGCCTTTATACTTAGACCTTCAGAGGTCATTACAAAATCCATACTTAAAAAAAAAACAAACGACTAACGTAAAATGTCGGAACGGATTCATTAAACATTGGAAAATATGGGAACATTGTCTACCCAGGAAAAATTCGTCTATGGCACTTTTCCTGCCGAAATGAAGAGTTGTCATTCCATTACATGTAGTAAATAGAAAAGTACTCCGAGAGCGCAGACCTCCGCCAAGGCAGCAATTTTTGATTATTATTGATTGATTGTTGATCTGGATTACCACCAAAAACTTATCACTTCTAAGTTAACCCATTTCTGACCTACCCTGAAAATTTCATCAAAATCGGTCCATAACTTTTGGAGTTATATTGATGACAGACAAACAGGGGTGAAAACATAACCTCCTTGGCAGAGGTAAATAAAATAGGTTGTGATTATCCTGTTAAGCATTATCTAAATTTAATTTTGTAATAAAGTCGACATACATTTTATGCTATGTGACAGGTATTATCATCAATGTTGTTAAAGTCCATCATGTACACGAGCACTTATTTGAGAAGCCGACACGGAGCGTTCCTAGATAGATTACTCTTTTTGTTTTATGCTAAGATTTAGTTTGGCTTCACCAATGACGTGGTGCCAGAACGTGAAAGCTACTGAATTAACTCAAGTTACGTGTCTTTTTTTCTTATTAGCCAGCCCGCAACATTCCCATCCTTGTAGTAACATGATTTCAGTTGCTGTTATCTATATTCATTTTGTTTTACACTGAGTTTACGTTTGACTTCACCCGTGACGTTAAGAGGACGATAAGAGCCAAAGCGGTTCACAAATTGGCGATTTTAGTTGTGAGTAGTCTTTGTCATTTTAAACGTCCACTGTGGAGTTGCCCCAGGTGCTGTATGAATATGTGTCGAGTCTTGATAAGCAAGGCCAAGGGATGGGAGGGGGCATGAAAACAAAATGTATGATTAGATAAAGCAATAGCAGCAATGTGACTTTTGAAAAAAAAACTTTCCTTGCTGATAATCCCATCGAGCAGATAGCTTTTTAATTAAAGGGCTATATGACATGCATGATGCCATGCCGAGTAAGGTATCGACTTAATTCAATTTCGATCTGTTGCATAGTTGGTATCAATGACCATCCACGCCTAAGTTTCATTTTAAAGACTTTAAAAAGATGAAAGAGAAAAGAAGAAAAGAAATATAATTAACGACGGAGACTTTATGATAATGAGGAGCAATAAGTTGTTGTCAAAAGTGATCACTTATTCTAAACTATACCGGATTTTTATGCAAAAGGTCATTTACTCGGACACACGAGAGCCTGTATTCGTTTTCGATTGCGGGGCCATCTTGTTGTTGTGGTGACCTGACATGCGTCATCTGGGATTTGAGCTCGTGACTTATCGTCACCATGGTTTGAAGATAGCTTGGTATTTTTTCGCAACCAAGCGCTACCGACTGCGCCGTGACGGAACCGCCCGCCTTCCAAACGTGCGAGTTTCCTCTTATAGTAATCAAACGCAATTTTTGGAAATTATTTCGAGCAAAAAAAGTGACTTAGAATTTCTTTGGATTCGAACCCGTGTAAGTGTGATGACCTATAGCCAAGACGGCCGAGTTACCACGGAGCCACAGAAGCTTCGTTAGCGACATGGCGATCAAATGGAAATTTTCTACTTTCTCACACTGAGGGCCAGTTTGGCTGTACATGTATATGTTTGCCATAACAATCAAAAGGCCGTGAGCCGTAGCCTACATATGTATATCATCCCGCGCATTACCAGTCTGCGAACACGGTATTACCATCAACGTTGTTAAAGTTCATCTTGTAAATCAAATAGAGGGGAGGTGTAAGAATGTACTTACAGAATGGAGGATGTGAATGGACCGAAAAGATAAATTACCCAACAGGACCTAAGTATATTGACAAGCCCCTAGATAAAAATAATCCATTGAAAAGCAAGGCTTTCTACATGTATATTTCTGGAAGGTGAAACAGAAAATAAGCTCTTAAGTAAACTCTGGATTTTGTTAGCCACTATGTTAGGTCGGTAGATTACTGACACATAAACTTACTTACATACAGGTACACCCAATATTGGAAATGATCTTAAAAAGCAAATGCATTCTAAGACCCCATTCCCAGAGATTAGATCGATCCAACTATATCGACCTAACTCCCTGGGGGTTCACGCTAAATAGCTGTCAGGTGAGGGGGGACGAAAGTAAATTGCCCCCTTACAGCTTGTAGTTGGCGGGACGGACATTTAAGCCGGATTATCTGACAGTAATCTAGTGAGACTCCCCACGGGGATAGATCGATCTAATATCTATGGGAATGCGCCCTAAGTGCATATTTTCTTTATAGCGGTACCTTTGTCCCACGACTTTAAAACAATAATAAATTAAAAATAAGAAAGAAAGCCATGCACATGTACCGTTTACCAGGACCACAGAATGATTTTATACTACATATACAAAATTCTTAATATTCGAAAAGAGATATGAAGGGCATTTAAATATGCATTTTAGGCTTCATTTCAAGAACTGCAAAAAATACAACTAAAATGTATAAAAGTTTATGAAATCATGAATTACTCTAATGTTGATAGTGCCCAAGGAATAAAATTCTTTGCGAAATACTATTATTCTGCTATATGATATCACAGGCTGGGATTGGATAATAAGGCATAACGACCAAACCCAATATAGAGGTGCATTTCACTTGCTGAACTATCCCAAAAATTAATTTGTTTTCAGTTTTTTAAACATAAACATGTATGTGTATAGAACAGAAATCCACGACTGTCTCAATATTTGTACCACGAATGGAAAATAGTTTATTTAATGCTTATTTAAATGTCGGTAGGGTGTATTTTCCCCGTTTTTTTTAACATTCAGCGCCAAGCAAACTAAAGTCTCTCAAAAAGAATTAACTGCTCTATACAGAAGATTAACATAATTTGTTTTACCACCTTATACTTGTAGGAGATAAAATCAAAGAACGAAACCAGTGGCACTTTTATATTTTTAGAGCATGCCTGTGACCTCAATATTGCACCTCCTTTTTTTTTTAGTTTGGAGTCGGAGATAAGCGACTGAAGGCATGGAGTGAGAAAAAAACTCTCGTTAGCAACGCCTCTGTTGTTGCAGTGAAAACATACGTGTACGCGTCGAGGCACGATTTTAAGTCTTTGGCAGCTAGCCAGTAGCCACGTATACAGGAGGTAGTCTAAGGTAGGTCTCAACTTGTCAAAGTTTGCGAGAAAATTTCTATTGCATTGACTGCAAGAAGATAAAATAATATTTTCAATATGCTTTAGGTTGCAAATTCGTCTGTCAAGTAAAAGTTTTTCTGTCAATTAAAAGTTCGTCGTTCTTCAGAATAAATTTTTTGCATTACGCATTACGTCGGGAAGGAGTGCATTTGTTTTTTTATCGTCATATCTCATGAGAGATAGACCTACCCATCAATTTTTGCATATAAGACAAATGTATGCAGCCGTCCATTACAGAGGAAAACGGTGTAATCATGAAGGATCAATAGCAGTGTATAGTTGTATGTTTTTGATAATTAGCTTCAACTCAGTGACAGCTGATTTGAGAAGAACGCAAAAATATCTTTTAAAAAGCGTTTGCTTAATTTGTCCGACGTAATACAATCCATGCTCGATAGAATTTTATGAAGATAATCATTTAAAGCCATATGCAGAGAAGAAGCTGGGATTTTGATATGCGTGTTTATCTGTGTTTGCTGAAGTTGATATCCACCGCGTACGTTGCAACAGTTGCCAGGGGAAAGAAAATTATGCTTGTGCGTGATCAACCGTAAACCGAAAGTAACCTCACTGTTGGCTTCTGTCCAATATGTTTTCTATAAATGTGGTTGATTTTATTATTTTTTCTCCAATACCTTATTGTGCATTAAAGTGACTGCTTTTAAAGGTAGTTTAACCAGCCCAGATACTATAAATATTGACAACGCCTATTATTCATATAACATTTCCCTGTGTTTATGCTGGATGTGGTAGGTTTACATTTATATTGACAGCCTAAAAAGTTGGCGCTTGTCAGAGACTCACAGTTGCCTTCTGTCCGAGATATTAATATTGAGTTAAATACATATTTATTTTTTGTCCAATACCTTATTGTCTATTAGATATACTGCTTTTAGAAGTACTTTACCCAGCCAAGGCAAATATTGTAAGTTCGTATTAATCTTGTCAAATTTATTGACATCCCTTATATTGGCGTGAAGTTGTAAAAAGGTCAGAAGTAAAAGTGTTTGTAGTGTGAATAACACTGTATGTTTGTTAGTCTGTTCTTCGCTTCATCATTTTAATAGTTATTTTTTCCACTTGAAAAGAGAAAAAACTTTTCTTTTAAGTATACTGCAGCGGTTTTAAATCGTAAACTAGAAGACAAAAGGAAAAAAGTGCCGAAAACCACCAAGTTTACATGATATTATCTTTATTTAGTATCCCATGGAAATTATTCAAGGCTTACTGTAGTATTTTGAAATTCCTTTATTTCCACCACAGCTTGCCCGTAATGTTTAATAGTATTTATTATTCATTTATATTTCAACTTCGTTTTGAATTTTTAAATAGTTTGTCGAGAATCTGCCATCATTCACAAAGTTATCGTCTGCAATTATTTCTCTTTTTAAAGAGCATGCGCATTTTCATTGCCCATGGGTTGCGCACCAAGCAACACCAGAGTTCTTACGGCCAATGGCAACGTTCCATATAATAACAGAAAATTAGACCATGGGCAACGACGCCAAGGGGAATTAGACCACGGGCAACGACGCCAAGGGGAACTAGACCAAAGGCTACGACGCCAAGAACTACATCAGGGACAACGACGCCAAGGGGAACTAGACCAAAGACAACGACGCCAAGGGGAACCACATCAAGGACAACAAGATCAAGCAGTCCAAGTATTTTTTCCCAGCAATTACACAGGAATACCAGAGGTAGCCGAAACGCCACACCTTGTGAATATACTACCCAATCAAGGTATATGTAAAGTAGATGATTTAGTCATATGAATGTTGGTAATCCTGAAATAGTCTCTAGATTTATATTTGTATTTCAAAACTGCAATATCAGTTAGTTGAATATTCAAGTGGCGCGTATTTGCTCAAGAAGGAAGATGTTTTTACAAAAATCTTTTATAAAACTGTTCGTCCCTTCTACCTTCTCTTTCTCCCTCTTTCATACTAAATTTTATTAACCTCGTTAGTGAAAGATCTTAAATGTACGGAATTAAATATCAAAACAATCCGAATGATTTCATTTCACCTTCATGTTTCTAGTTATATACAGTTTGTGTAGTCACCTAATTGAAGAAGCGACGCACATGAGCTATGTGAGGACTTCACTATTCCTCTCCTTATTTTATTTTTTCCCTTAAACAGAGATACCTTTAAGGATTGCTCTTCAAGTAGTTGACACAGGACAAGGAGAAACTGCAGAAGAAATTGTGCGATCTGCTAGTCCAGATGGTATTAGCGTTATCATGAGGGATGACTTACACGTAATTGCTACAAATATTCAAGTTAGGCAGGGAAGCGTCATCATAGATATGAACGTTATTGGTTGGGAATCGCTGGAGAAATTACTGAAAAGCAGTAAAAATGGACAATTAGAGAAGTGTCTGAAAAAAGTGCTCTTAACCCCTGATATCACCAAAGGAAAAGATATGTCTCTGAAGATGCACATTGTAAATGAGGATAAACTGCGAAAATTGGTGAAACTGATGAAGCTACTTTATGTGAAGGACGGTAAGTTAGTGTAATGTCCTATGAAAGTAGTTAATGCATATTATAAACAATGCAGTACAAGTATTTTAAAACAATGGAAATTTAAAGTTATTTTTGAAATAATTTTTCATTTCTTATCAGCTTTTATTATCATTTTGATTCATGATTTTTTCATGCATTTAATTTGATACCTTGTTTAATATTAAAAGCGTTTTTTTTAACTTTGAATAAACAGTTATTTCAGGTAGACAACATTTATAGAAAATGTCATTTAAATGTCATCATTGGTAAAATACAGTGAAATTCGAGATGTCGCACCGAATAGATGAATAGTGATCATTCAATGCACTAGGACACATATGAAGAAAGCGTTGCTTGTAATAACCTTAGTTTCTTCTTCCATCAGCTGAGAAGGGAAATGCGCAGAATTCTGAGAGCGTGAGATTTACGTTCTGTCCAGAGAGACGCATGTGGTTCTGGACCCCGTACCTGAAGAAACATATTTGGATGGAGGTAGGAAATGATATGTTTCATCTGAAATGTACAAATGTCCTAGAATTAACTTTTTGTAGTTGGAATATATATACTCGATACTAGATATCAAGAACTTGTGAAATAGTATACAAAATTACAGATTACTAGAGCACCCTGTGGTCGGAGAGCAGTGTAAAGCCCAATAACGATGATATTTACAGGATAAATAAAAGTTTCAAACATATCTTGCTAAAATAATACGCCACCACAACAGATCCCAGGAAAATGTCAATTTAGATAAATTATGATTAGATTTTAATTGAGTTTACAAGATTTTTATCACAAGGTCAGCTACGAGGAAGTTCAAGGCGGACCTCTTAAGGGACATGTTCCTGAAGACAAATACTTGGAGATAATACGTTATCTGCAACAAGAAAAACCGACTTTGAAGGCCAATACTTCGACATGCGTCATATGTGAGTTGTGCAATATTTAAATGAACTGTGCTTTGATTATTTTAATTACCTATACGTGGAAAGTTATTCAATCATCTATAACGTTTCCCAGCGTCGTTGACACTTCCCTAGTATCGTTAAACATCGAGTTTGGGCTAAAGAAATAAAATAGTATAATTTCAAGATCAAAATGATATCAAAGATACCAACTTTTGCATTTTCACCTCATTTTATCGTGCTCTTTGCAGAAAAATGATTTTTTTTCTAATTTTATGAGTCCAGGTGATCTTGTACCTATTACTGGCAAGGTACCAGAGATCAAATATACAGAGATAACAGGTACGTTTGATTATTGTTATTATTATTATTATTATTATCCTTTAGGGGGACATTTTGATCTAAGATTAAACTTTAAATTTTTATTTTTTTCATTAAGATAATTTTTCATTTAATAGATATAACACTTCCCTAGCATGTATTGACCCTAACTTTAACGTCAATTATTGTACTTTTTAAGTTTTTAACCAAAGGCAATTCTTTAAGGCAAGATGTCTGCGACCAATAACTACCTCAACTTATGGATAATTTTGTCCAGGAGAGTTGGGGCTACGGAAACCATACGAAAATTTCCCATAGGTCATCCTATAAGACTCCATGGGACTCTATGAGAATTATATCCAATACCTTGTGGTATTCCTGTCAAGGACATATACCTGAAAAATTCCTATTGAGTCCCATAGAGTCCTTTGGGATTCCTATACAGTCCTGTGGGATTCCTATACAGTCCTATGGGGTTCCTATACAGTCCCGTGGGATTCCCATACAGTCCTGTGGGGTTCCCATAAAATCCTGTTGGATTCCTATACAGTCCTGTGGGGGTTCCAATAGAATCCTGTTAGATTCCTATACAGTCATGTGGGATTCCCATACAGTCCTGTGGGGTTCCCATAAAATCCTGTTGGATTCCTATACAGTCCTGTGGGGTTCCCATAGAATCCTGTTGGATTCCTATACAGTCCTGTTGGATTCCCATAGCTTCCTATATAACCCTGTGGGATTCCTACAGTCCTGTAGGATTCCGGTAAAGCCCCACATGGACCTGCGGCAGGTCCTATAGAGTCTTATAGTACCCTAAAGGAATTTTTTGTAAAAAATGCTTTGCATAGTACACCAAACATTTCATTACAGTCAGTCCCCCAAGTGCGGGAACCAAAAACAGGACAACTGGTATGGAAGGTGGGGCAAGCGGGACACAAGATGTGAAAAATTATCAGTACGTATAGGCCTATATGTGTGTGTGTGTGTGTGTGTGTGTGTGTGTGTGTGTGTGTTTGTATGTGTGTGTGTGCCGAAAAGATCGATTTTCCTGGGTTAAACGTTGAATTTCCCATACCAGGTTAATTAATCCATAATGATCCCCCTACTCTGATGACAGGCACAGATACCAAAATAATTACATAAACCGCTGTTTTGGTGGAAGAATGAATTCATTATATTTCTCTAAATTATTTACAACGTATTTATTTGAATTATTAATCTCATACGATCAGTTGCTATCAATTTTAAGAAATTTAAAAACTGTTCGAAACTATGCAAACGATTTTTTGCCCTGAACAATAGCAGAATTCAAACAAGTTAATTGGTTGCTTTAAAGCTGTTATTAGTTCATAACGTTAATTGAGAATAAATGTATAGCTGAATGTGATAAACGTATTGATATTAACATTGTAGAATTCATTTTTTATCTCATTTTATAAAGTGTATGGCTTTAACATTGAGTTTTGCTGTTTTAACGCGAAAGAAATAAGAAATTCAGTGAACACCTTGAATGTTTCAGAAACATGAGTGTCCCCTTGAATAGAAAAGATAAGCTGAGGGCTTCAAGGGATTCGGGTTATGGCTCACCACGAGACCCTCCGGATGCCTCTGGCGGTGACCAGGGTGGAAATCATTGAGATGATATGCAAAAGTCGCTAACAAGTATCACCATTAGAGTAGAAACACTAAGACCGCGTTCAGATAAACATATCATGATGGCTGAATCGATCCAACTCTGCGGTGGATTATAGCCAAAGTGCATTCAGTGTTATCAGCTTAATTGTCTGGCACACCTCTTCGACTTAAAGAGCTTTCAAGAGCTAGGCACGCATGATAGTTAATTACCCCCTTGCTGGTTTAGGTGGCGTGCCATTCATAATTAGCTTTAATTAGTTAGCCAATACACATGTTTAGTTGACATTGCATTATACGGAACTAGAACTCCTACACTTTTTTATGTTCATTGCAATGAACCTCGCCGTTGACGAAATTTTGCATAGTTTATTTATTTTGATTTTGTTGGAAGCAGGAATTGACTATTATATGGCCACTGTATGGTCAAGTTAATCATACAGTGGTTAGATAAACTATTATTTTTAGATGCAAAAATTCCCCTCAAGTTTAGTTGTAAGTTACATGTCAGAGCAAACTCTGAAACTCCATGTGGAAGCCCTGCTCCTGAAGCAGAGTCGAAATTTAGTTTCCATAACTTTATTTTGAAAAAAATATACAGCTATGTAAACAATGCTAATTACTGTGATACAAATTAATCAGAGAGGTTTAATTGTCTTTTATATTATTCTCATATCTTTCATTTTAATAATAATGTTTATATGTGTGATGTTTAAATTACATGTATATAATTATCTTAATCTGCGCTCCTGTCAAATAAATCGAAGGCATACTAACTATTATTATTACCTCCGCCAAGGAGGTTATGTTTTCACCCGTTTGTTTGTTTGTCTGTCTGTCTGTTTGTCATCAACATAACTCAAAATGTTATGGATGAATTTCGATAGAATTTTCAGGGGTAGGTCAGAAATGGGTTAACTTAGAAATGATTAGTTTTTGGTGGTGATCCGGATAAATAATCAATCAATAATCAATAATCAAAAATAAAAAACTAAGTTATGGACCGATTTTGATGAAATTTTCAGGAACTGTCAGAAGTGGGCCAGGGAACAGATGATTAGTTTTTGGTGGTGATCCGGATCAATAATCAATCAATAATCAATAATCAAAAATCAAAAAAATAAATCATTATAGAATTAAAATTTAGGGGTGAAACGGCATTAGGTGGAGACTTTGCTGCCTTGGCGGAGGTCTGCGCTCTCGGAGTGCTTTATTAGTTTCAGTCTAAAATCCAAAATTGCTCAGTAGATTTTACAATGCAACTTGAATCGATAACAATAAAAGGCTAGTAAAAGAAAAAAATACGAATTCGCATTATTTGCCAAAGGTCCTACGTAGTAGAAGCGGAAGAAAATTCAAGTGTAGCATTGCACGGTAGTAAGATTAAATTGCCAGAAGAGCGTACTTGTAAATGAGGAAATTAAAACCACAATAAGTCATTCGTCTTTGTAATTTCCGATGCACCGGTAACTATAACTATACCTGCTTTACTTTTTGTAGTTATAGTATAGGGATAGAGATCAATGACCATTCCTGCCTAAGTATCATTTTAAAGACTTTAAAAAGAAATATAATCGACGACGGAGACTTTCTGATAATGACGAGCAATAAGTTGTTGTCAAATTCGATCACTAATTCTAAACTATACCAACTATTTATGCAAAAAGTAATTTGCTCGGACACACGAGAGGCTGCTTTCGTTATCGGGCCAGCTCGTTTTTGAGGTAATCTGACATGCGTCACCTGGCATTTGAACTCGTGACTTGGAATTACCATGGTTTGCTGGTGGCTTCGCATTCTTTGCAGCCACGCACGAGTTTCCTCTTATAGTAATCAAACGCAATTTTCAGAAATTATTTCGAGCAAAAAAAAAAAAGCACATTGGAAATCTAAGGATTCGAACCCGCGTATGAGTGTCGAGCTGTGTTCAAGTCGGCCGAGTTAGCAAGGAGACACAGAAGCTTCGTTGGTAAGATGTGTATCAAATGGAAACTTTCTACTTTCTCACAGAGAGGGCCAGTTGGACTGCATTAATCTGCCATAACAATTAAAGTGAGCCGTATATATGTATTTCATCCTGCGCATATCATCAACGTTATTAAAGTTCATCATGTGCACGAGCACTTATTTGAGAAGCCGACACGGAGCGTTCCTAGCGAGACTACTTTTTTACTGTGACTATTCGTGCATTCTTTTTTCAGAACCTTCTAAATCCGCCACTGACAGGTAGATGGAAAATGAAACATTGGGATCTGCATGATTTAAAATAAGCCTGACATCCAAAAATTAGAAATGATAAATCCTTACTTGCCTAAGATCCCCAAGAACCCATTTCCACAGCAATATGTTTTTAGTTGACCCTACTTAAAGAAATACCAAATTGCATCATTTTGTATTTTCCGAAAATTAAAATTTGAACAGATGTTTCATGTGTTATATATAGCCCTTCAAATATCACTGGAATAATTATTCTTTGGCATATATGGACTGCATTTGAGTCGCATAAGGAAATGGTAAAAGTGATTTATATGCGTTACAGGAATCTACACTTGATTTATATCTAACTTGAATTTCCCTGCAAGATTCACCACTAAAACTCAACCAACACTTAGGTCAATAATATCCCCATCAGATTTTTTTTTAAGTTGTTAATGCGCACGAAGCAAAAAAAAAACACTAAACCGTTACTGAACAGTATTTAATTATACATTATTGAAGATTAAGATGTTTTTATAGTTATGAAGTAAATGAAAATTAGTTATCATTATCAAACGTACCCTTGGATTTTTTCTCCATCGATTTCACTGTTATGTGAAAGATCCCCTGCAGTTTATAAATATATATAATTATTACATTTATTGGATCTTGTTTGTGAAACAAACGTGGAGATGTGTTAGGGAAGTAAAGAGTAGGGGGCTTAGCCGTTATATATTGGAAGAAACTATCTTATAAATTTGAAGTGCTTTGATAGTTTCTTCCATCAACAGCTTAAAATCGCCACTCCAAAATTTAAATGTCTCACAGGACAACTTAACCAGAGAAGGCTTTAGTAGTTATATAGTTGCATTATCCTCTACACAGTAAAATGTCTTTTGTGATTCAAAACACTTTTCTCAACTCCAGCTTACGGCCTTGGAAGTCTCTTTATACCACCTCAACAAGCCCGGGGCATTACATTTATATTTTGATTTCACATTATACCTCCATAGATTTTTAAGAGTTATTTGTCAAAAGAAATCAAATATTTAAATCTCTGGTCCTAAGGATCAGATCTATTTAGTCGATTTACAAGAATAAACAGGATTGATTATGGTTTCTTAAAGATATACCAGGTACCCCAGTAAAATTATATGAAATCGATCGAAAAGATATATAATTCAGTAAGACCTAGGTATATTGACAAGCCCCTGGATGATAATAAGCCATTGAAAAGCAGGGCTTTCTGTGTTTGTTAAGGGTGAAATCGAAAGCTCTTGAGTACACTCTGGGTCTTGTTCGTCACAATGTAAGATCGAAAGATCACTTGCACATAAACTTATTAACATACACCTAATATTGTAAATGATTATAAAAAGCAAATGCATTTTAAGTGCACTTGACGATATTTGCTTTCTACCGGTACCATAACTTTAAAACAATAATAAATTGAAAACGGAAAAAAAGAAAGCCATGAACATGTACCCTCTATCAAGGCCACAGAGAGATGTTTTCACTGGATATTGACATATTTTTCTGGCTAATTCTGTGCACGTTTCTGCACTGTGACTTTTTTCAGTGAATTGATGTCTTCAGTCAGCTGACGTCTAGTGTAAAGAGTTATGTATAGGGTTTCGTCCATCAAGTCCCGCCCAGATTACGATGATTTTAAAGACTATTTGAATAAATATGAAAATAAAAAAGTTAAAGGATTTGGTTTTTGCGATTCTAAATGGAATGCTAGCCACAGGAATAACTTCTAAAGAAGATAATCTTTGGGCATGACGTTGGGAGTTGGCTTTTTTCATATGGAAATGTTGATTTTTTCCCCTCTAGTTGCTTGTTACATTAGTAATGCCAAAATTTTCATTATTCGAAAAGAGATGTGAAGATCGTTGAAATATGTATTGTAGAATTGCAAAAAAAAAAAAAAATACAATTCATAAATGTTGTTGAAATCATGTACCGGCAGTTACTCAAAAATTGATAGTGCCCAAGATAAAAGTCTTTGCGAATGACTGTTATTCTGCTATGATATCATAGGCTGGCCTTGGATAATAAAGCATAAGCGTCTGATGACAGGGAATGAAAAAAACTCTCGTTAGCAACGCCCCGTTGTTGCAATGAAAACATACGCGTCGAGACATCGATTGAAAGTATTTGGCAGCTAGGCAGTGGCCACGTATACAGGAGGTAGTCTAAGGTAGGTGTCAACTCATCAGAGTTTTCGAGAAAATTTCTATTGCATTGAATGCAAAAATATGAAATAATAGTTTTAATATGCTTTAGGTAACAAATTTGTGGGGTTTTAACTTTTAACCTTAAAAATCGATCGCGATGAAGGCCTGTCTGACAAGTAAAAATTTGTCGTCCTTCACACGTACACACACTGGACAAAAGAAGTGTCACCCCCTAACTCAGAGTAATAAAAGTAGGCAGATCTTGGGTACTTATAATACCTGGTCTACTTATAATGTGACTAATGAGTATAAAACCGCTGTACCATGGGATTGTATTGTTGGTCTTGTACATGTACAGCAAATGTTATTCCTGTCTTCCTCCAATATGGCAAGATACAGGCAATTATCTAACGGTTATAGGTGCAAGTTATTAACTTGAAGAGGCGGAATATAAGCAATGTCAGTATATCGATACAATTGAAATGTTTAGTCAGAACCGTGCAGAGGGTCTGGTCTCGGTATAGAAACACTGGATCAAGAGACAAATTGCCTCTGATGGGTCGTCCAAGAAAAACTACTGGCCGTGAAGACCGATGACTGATTTTGCTGTCCAAGTTGTCAAAATTCGA